TACAATACCCCTTTAATTAGTTAAGGCTTAAAAAACAAATAAATTGATTTTTATTTATTCTTTATCAAGAGTTATTTGTTAAGAACCCGTTTCTCAAATATCGCAAAATGAAATTTTGTTAATACATAATAATCGGATTTATTAAATAAATATTACTACAATTTATGATAATACCATAAAACAATAAAAATTATAATTTGAGTGATTATACAGAATATTATAGAAATTAAATTCCAATAGATAAGTTTACAAAATGACAATATGATAAAATTGGAATAATATTTTATAAGATAAATGAATTTTCAATTAAATGCATTATATTAAAATAATTACCTGTTATAAAAACAAACTTGCCTATATTCAATTTCAGTGTAACACTGAGAAACAATGTTTTGTAAACAATTACAAATAAATTATAACATTGTTGAACTTTTGTTGAAATGAGTATTTTTTCCAAATTATTTTTTCCAAAATTATTCTTCCAAGATTATTTTTTCCTGTCGTCAAATTTCAATAGTGCTAAAAATTGCATTTGCTGTGTTCAAAACAAGCTACATAAAAGGATAGTTGTGACTTTATTTAAAGTTAAAACTTCTAATTGTGCGACTTTTTTAACTCTAAATTGATTTTAGTTTTAATACACATAATCTTTTATTGTAGTTTGTTATATTATATCGTCAACAAATTTAACTCAAACTTAAAATATTTTTAGTTTGGTTTCAACCTTAAGTTTTTTCAACTTTCATTTTCCATAAATTTCGCCCAAATCAATACCATTCAACATTCTATTGCTTTTAAAATTGCTTCAACGGCGTTGGAATATATACTTATGTAAGTGTTACATTTTACATATATTTTGAGGTTTTTATTTTATCGACCAAGTGTTTTTATGCTTTTATAAATCTTAACTAAAAATTTTCAAGTTGGCTAGCTAACCATTTTAACTTAAGTATTTATATTGTCGAGACATTTTATATTTTGTCGTTTTTTTACATGCAGTCATAAACAATAAAAAACAAAAATAATTTAA